ATCCTTACCCGAGGACATTTTTCCACTTTTGTTCAGATAGCGTGGGGGGGGGGGGACATTGATGCTAAAGGGACACAGTGAGTGGCTACCTCCCGCACGACCCCAACCAGGGCCGAGAACAAATCGCAACCAAGATATGTGCCCTTGACCAGAATCAAACCCACAACTCATTGGTCCGAGAGCCCATGCTCTTAATTGCTGAGCCAAACCGATCAGGGCTTAGTATCTTGTTTTTAAATAATAAATGAAAAAAGCCCTGGCCGGTTTGGCTCAGTGATTAGAACATCTGCCACCGGATGGAAGGGTCGAGGGTTCAGTCCCTGTCCTCAGTGGGGGTCATGTGGGTGTCTCTCCCTCCCTTCCACTCTCTCTAAAAATCAATAGAAAAATATCCTAGGGTGAGGATTAATAATAATAATGATTACAATGATAATAATAATAAAAGAAAAAGAGTAACTCTACAGTCCAGAAAGGAGAAATCTGGCAAACCCCACCTTCATTTAGCCATGTCATGTGCCTATCATGTACCCCTGATGTGATCTGATGTTCTTCCACAAACCCGTAGGCCTGTATAAGCATGATAAAAACAACTCACAAATCCAATTTGAGGACAATTCTACAACATCCCTGCCTGGTACTCCTCAACAGTCACGAAAAAGAAGAAAAGGTTGAGAAGCTGTGACAGACCAGAGAACACTGGGGGCCGGGGGACTGGATGCACTGTGGCACCGGGACGGGATCCCGGACAGGAAAACTGGTGAACTCCAAATAAGGTCTGGAGTTCAGTTAACAGCGAGGCACCAATTGTCAGTTTCTGAGTTTGACAACTGTACCATGGTGATGATGTAAGGTGTTGACAACAGGGAACGGGGTGAGGAGATGTGGAAACCCCTGTATTAACTAACTTTCCTGCAAATCTATAAACTGTAAGGTTAACTGGGATAGGAGGCCTCACCCAGTCATTCAAGTTCAATTTTTTTTTTAATCCTCACCTGAGGATACTTTTTTCCCATTTATCTTCAGATAGTGAGACGAGAGAGAGAGAGAGAGAGAGAGAGAGAGAGAGAGAGAGAGAAACATCAACTGATTGCCTCCCACACGACCCCAACCAGGGCCGAGGACCAAAGCGCAACCAAGGTTCGTGCCCCTGACTGAAATCGAACCTGAGACTCCTTGGTCCGCGGGCCAACACTCTAACCACTGAGTCAAACCGGCCAGGTCTCAAGTTAAATTTAAACAAAAACAACAACAACAAGAAAAGATTATATATATATAATCTTTGTTTAAATATTTTTAAGTGTATTTTGGTTAGATGCAAAACATTAAATAGAGGCAGAGTTACTAATCTTTCTAACTGGGGAGGCTTAAAAAAAAAGAAGAAAGAGCCCTGGCCGGTTTGGCTCAGCGGTTGGAGTGTCAGCCTGAGGAACAGAGAGTCCCAGGTTCAGTTCCTGCTGGGGGCAGGTACCAAAAAAAAAAAAGAAAATATCTCCAAATTTAAGCAAATGATCAAGCCTTAAGATTTAAGAAATCTCTAAATCTCCTCCCAGCTGAATGCAAACTGATACTCCACAGGTCTACACCCCTCCCTGAAGACTTCAAAACTCTCACAAAATGGTCTTAACCACATGGAGGTAATAAACTCTTCTAAAAATACATCTTCATGATGTGAACAGAACTGGTTTCTAGACTTAGGCATCAGACCAACACACAAAGGGGGAAGGCCTTTAGAGAAAAGATAAAGCAATGTTTTCACCACCAACTTAATCCTGTAAAATCAGTTCTTTCAGGAAGAGAAAAGGAAGATTATTTCATTCCACTCACCGCTTCCACCCTCCAGCCCCAGAAAAGAAACCAGGGAAACATCCCGGAATATGTGCATAACAGAAATGACCTCAGGAGATCCCAGGAAAAAAGGGATTCCTTCAGCAAAGAAGGGCACACATACAAATTGTCAGGTCTCCAAAGAAAATAGTCTAGTTTGTACACAAGGTGGAGGACCAGCTGGAAAAGGCCAAAAATATCTGGTCTTTTACAGTCTCTGGAAAAAAATGTTCTTTATAATCATGTGAGCATAAGTGAAACCTGATTACAAAAGCCCTAAGGAACTCTCTCATTTGTACATGTATTGAATCGAATATTGCTCAGAATTCTTAAAGGGTCATTGGCTAGCCACCTTTAAAATACAAAGACTCTGCAATGCCTTTTGTTGTAGTGGAGTTTAATCTTCATATGGCTCCAGAAAATGTCCAACATAAATGGCGCCTCTTGCCCTGGCCGGTTTGGCTCAGCGGTTGGAGCGTCCGCCTGCGGTTCGGAGAGACCTGGGTTTGGTTCCCGCTAAGGGCACGTGCCTCAGTTGCAGTTTGTCCCCGGCCCTGGTTGGTCGTGCGGGTGGCAGCCACTCGGTGTGTCCCTTTCATGTCGATGTTTCCCTCTCTCTTTCTTCCTCTCTCTCCCTCCCACTCTGTCTGTACAAAGGATGGAAAGGTGTCCTCGGGTGAGGATAAAAAAAAAAAAAAAAAATGGCGCCTCTTATATTCTAAGTTAATAAGAAGAATTGCCCGGCCGGTGTGGGATGACCCATGCACTAAGAGGTCGCAGGTTTGATTCCTGGTCAGGGAACGTGCCCAGGTTGTGGGCCTGATCCCCAGTGGGGGGCATGCAGGAGGCGGCCAATTGATGTTCTCTCTCATTGATGTTTCTCTCTCTCTCTCTACCTCTCTCTCTCTCCCTTTCCCTTCTTCTTTCTCTAAAATCAATTTTTAAAATTTATTTATTTTATTTACTTATTTTTTTTTATCCTCAACCAAGGATATTTTTCTACTTATCTTCAGATAGAGTGAGAGGGAGAGAAAGGGAGAAAGAGAGACACATTGAGTGGCTGCCTCCTGCACAACCCCGACCAGGGCCAGGGACAAACCACAAGCGAGGTACATGCCCTTGGCCAGAATCGAACCCACTGAGTCAAACCGGCCTGGGCAAGAAAAAATATTTTTAAAAAATAAGGAGGAAGAACTTAGACAAAAGAGGAAATTGGGATCTCCAGTCATCTTCAGGAAAGGAAGTAAGAAACTGCACCATGGCTGTTAGGCTATCTGACCCCCCCACCCCAAATTCAAATTCAGTACACTTTCGACAAAATATACATGAGCTCACAGTGAAATGTTTCAGAGAAATGCTTTCAAATTCCACCTTCTGAATTGGGTCTGTTTCTGCAGAACGATGTATTCCACAAGCCACAGATAAAGTTACCACAATCTGAAAGCCAGGTTCAAACAGAGCGCAAGTACAAATTACAGTGAATTGTGGAATGGAAAATGCTTCGATTGGGGAGTTGGGCTGCTCCCCCAGAACCAAAGAGGCCAATTTCTCTCTGGATTCCTGGTGAAACCACATCCCAGTTTCCACATGAATGATGGTTTTTGATGAAATGGTGCAATGAGAACATTAATGGGACTGCATCAAGAGACAAAACTGTGTACCCTGATTGCAACTTCATTAAAAGAACCGGCATCATGACAAAAGACCAAGCCGCCAAATTAAAAAATAGCACACTAGGCTAGCTATTCCATTCACATGGTGAGGCTATGCCTCATTTTCTTCTTTATCTTCCACACTTTCGGTAATATTGTTATTTTTTACATAACTTTTAAAAATATCAATGCAGCCCTGGGCCGGTTTGGCTCAGCAGTAGAGCATTGGCCCACGGACCAATGAGTCTCGGGTTCAATTTCCGCTAAGGGCACGTACCTGGGTTGTGGTTTGTCCCAGGCCCTGGTTCGGGTCCTGCGGGAGGCAACCAGTCAATGTCTCTCTCTCACGTCGATGTTTCTCTCTCCTTCCACTCTATCTGAACCAAAATGGAAAAAATATCCTTGGGTGAGGATTAAAATAAAATAAAAGATAAAAAATACGAATGTGTTATCTATGAATAACCTGGACTCAGGTTCAGGCAAGTCAATGCTAAGCTCTTAAATTTACCCCAGGAACACTGTCAATTTTAAAGCTACACGAGCTAAGTAGCTTAAATTCTCCATCACTTATATTCTCTGAAGTTAACACCAATAAGAAAGTCAGAAAGAAAAAAGTGCCTCAGGCTTTCAGGATCCTAGTGAATTAATGTTCCATCTACTAGGAGGTGAGCAGGAAATCACTAGACACCCTCGATTTTGTCCCTACCTTAAACCCTATTACACACAGTTCTTCTACTGAAATAAGTTAAGTTGAAGGGACTTCATTAGCTACGGAAGTGTTATCACAGCTGCCAGAGTGCTAACGCAGATTCAAACAACAGGACAAAATTTTGATTCAGGAAAGTACCACTTTAAGCTCAAATAACAACTTTACGGTAACACCTATCAAGTACAGAACAGACCACGAGGAGTCAAACGAGCACTAAAAACATCACAAACTTGTCCATACTAAAGAGAGACAGTTAAGGAGGTCTATGTGCCTGATGAGATGGATCACCTCGCCCACACGGCTACCCTCATGGCAGCAAAAATAAAACAGGACAAGTCCCAGTACCAAGACTCTAACTTCCTCATGTGGATCTCCATTTTTTTCCACCACCACTATAGCTGTGGGGACATTCAACTGGGGAAAATGTTAAGTCCCTGACAGGCACCAGCCTATTCTCAGAATGGCATCCTACACACCTCTGTCAGTGGGGATGGTCAATGGCCGGCATGCATGCACTGTTTATGTCCTTGAAGTTTAACATGGGTTGGAAATGCCTTCTGGCTCCTTCCCTCTCAGTGATCCCCTTTTTACTGTCCTCAACCCTGGGCTTGTCTGTGCCTCCTTTGAAGCTTTGCTGAGATGCTTCTGCAAATGTGAAATGCTGCCCACCATGTCCACATGTCCCTCTGCCAAATGTGCTCAGGCCTCAGCTTTGCTACTAAACTTTTCTTGGTTAACCTGGCCCCAGTCTCAGAGCAACCTCCCTTCCATTCCTCCCAACACCCTTCCAGGCATTACTGAGCATTGGCTTTCACCTGTGTGTCCACTTTCCACTCACAGCGTAAACCCCTCAGGACCAGGAGCCATTTCTTCTGTGTCCTTTCCAGGGTAAGGGTATCACTTGATTTCCCCACAGCCAGCCCATAAAAGAGACTGAAGGAACAAAGCAAAATTGACTCACCAAAGAAAGCAGATTATTTCAACCTAGTATTTTAGAAACAACAAACCGATTCGCAGTGTAAGATCAATCACCAAGTCACTTAATCCATGGAAACATTACAACAAGGATACTTTTTCAAGTGTGAATAAAAGCATCTATTATTAATGCCTTAAGTAACAGGAAAGAGGGAAGGTGAGCCTCTCCAATAGTAGATCTACAATGTGTGTGTGTGTTTCTTTGCTATTAGAGAGAGAGAGAGAGAGAGAGAGTGGAAGAGAGAGGTGGAAGAGAGAGATGGAAACATCAATGAGAGAGAACATCAATTGCCGCCTCCTGCATGCCCCCCACTAGGGATCAGGCCCCACAACCTGGGCATGTGCCCTGACCAGGAATCAAACTGGTGACCTCTTGGTGCATGGGTCAATGCTCAACCACTGAGCCTCACCGGCTGGGCTACAATAAGTGTTTCTTAGAGTCTAGTGCACATTAGATCCCAAAGCAAGGGCTGGCTGAGAGGAAAGCCAAGTGCTGCATGAGTGTTATTCTACGCCAGGCTCTGGATTCTGATCCAACTATGATAAAACCAAACATGGTAGTAGAATTCCAGATACAAGCTCTTTACAGGCATCTAGGTTAGTCCTATTTTAAAAGGGCCACCATGAGAAGGCTGGGATGGGGTAGGAAAGTAAGTGAGGCACACATTAATGTAAACCATGGTTTTCCTTAAAACAGCCCCAGGAGAACTGCAGAACTTTCCCTCCAGACAGCCCCTGAACCAGCCCCAAAGTAGAGGGGAGAGATTTATCCCACGATGGGAGAGTCTAACCTGATGAGTTAGACAGGAAGTCCCTGTGGCTTCCAGAAACTGGATTTCCCAATCACCAAAGCACAGTCCAAGGGTGGATGACATAAGCCCCACTATCCCAAAGCAAAAAGTGAAAACTAGTGAAGGTCCAACTTGCCTGATCCCTGAAATGATGGCCCTTCCAGGATTCACCATTTCCCCAACACCTCCCCTTCCCTCCGGGAGCTCCTGGCATAAAATCCAACCCACTGCCCAGATGTACACTGACCTGGCAAGCTGAGGGGAGGGCACCTGCCTAGCTTGGAGGGAGGGGCAATGGCCACCTCTACCACAGGTTCCCCTGCCTGTGCCACCAGCATTCACCCCGAAGGGGGATGGGCATGCTCCTGCCATCACAGGGTGCCAACCTTACTGGGGGGAGGGGGAGCTGGCCGGACCAAGGCTCCCTTAGCGTTGTGTCCCGGATTTTTACCTCCCGGTGCTTCCCCAGGCCCTCGGGTGTCTACATAGGCACCCACCGAGGGCGGTCGTGGATCCCCGGGAAAGGGGCAAAAGCGCAGATGCCCTGGCCCCTAGAAGCCGAATTTCTGGGACCTGCGTCCGGAAATTCACTGGATTTTGTTGTTGGTTTGGTTTGGTTTCTGAATACCCGGGTGATGACTCTGGAAATCTCGTCTTTAAGATCGCAGCCACCAGAGCCAGGCGCGACTTTCTTGGAAAGACTCGGACCCGACGGAGCGCGCTTCAGGTCGGGGCCGGGCGACCTCGCCGCTCGCGACCCACGGACCGGCCCCACGGGCGCGGAGGAGTGGAACCCAGCCTGTCCCACGGCCGAAACTAGCGCTGGGAGGCCGGGCAAAGGCCCGCGCCGGCTCCGCGAGAAAGTTCTCGGCCGGACCCGTGAGCCCTCCGCCCGGTGCCTCCCACCCCGGGACCCGCCGGGGTCCTCGGCCGCCACAGCTGGCGCGATGCCCCGGGTCTCCCGGCCTCAGCTGCTCCCGAGCCCCGGGCAGGTGCTAAGCGCCGCAGGGACCCCGGCTTCCGGCCCCGGGCAGCCCTCGACCCCCACCCCGCCGCCGCGCCCCCAAAAGCGCCCGGCTGCCGCCGCACCGCACTCACCGCCGCTCGCGCCGCCAGTCGAGCCGGGAGGTCTGAGCCGGCAGCGCAGGCGGGGGACGGGCGGGACGCGAGGGGGCGGGGGCTGCGCCCGCGGGGCGGGGCGTGCGGCCGGGCTTCCGGCTTCTCCCCGCCTCCACGCGCTGCCGGGACCTGCGCCTGGGCACTCGCGGGACCACCACCTCCGGCCATCGCCCGTGGGCCTGAGCTCCGGGAGAGACCCCCTACCCCCCGGACTCTGCCCTTTCCCTCCACCTCTCAGGCTTCCACTGTCCAGATTACACCTCTGACCTAGTCACTGTAACCCCCAGTTTCATCCCACGCCCCTTTAGCTGACCTCAGAGCCTCCCAGTCGCTCCATCCTAGTGTCTCCCCTTTGGGATTCTGCCCCTGCACCTCCATCCTCCCTCCTCGTGCCTTGAACACCCCTGATCCTCCTGATTTTGGCTCCCTCTCTTCTCCCCACTCCCCTAAATCCCTCATTACTGGCATTCCTTCTTCTCCCCCACCCTCAAACACTCAGACCACCAACCTGGAGTCCCAGATCCCACGCAGAGGGATCCCTCGCTCCCTGCCCTTCTGAGGGTGGCCCTTATCTCCGCATAACTCAAATGGAAAGGGAGCAGAGAATAAGAGGGAACTAATCATTGTGGGAGCACTAGCCATAGTTATAAGAAATGTTGAACCTCTTTGCTCTGTTCATTGTGATTGCTTTGTTCTGATTAAAGAAAGCCCATTCTGACCTGGCTGGGAGCTGAATGGAGTCTTGGAGGCCTGCGCTGGAGAGTCCACATTTGCCAGCTCCCATTACTTCCTCATGCCTGTAATCTGTAACTGTTTTATCCATTGTTATTCCTGTTGCCTGTTTCCCCAACCACTGTACCCATTAATATTCCCTTTGTCTACTTCCCCAAACATTTTACCCATTGATAGTCCCATTTGCTTACTTCCCCATGTAATACCCAATAGAAGTGACCAGCTATCAAGGGAGTGGAGAACAAATTTGTTCAGGATGACCTGTCTACTCTCCCATACCGCCAGCAATATTGGAATAAACACTCATATACAATTCAACCTTGTCTCTGCTTAATTGGCTCAAGTAGTGACATGCAGCCTGGACCCTTTGTTGTCTGGTTTCAAAATCTGTACATTCAAGCACATCCAGACAGCCCAACGTACCCCGTGTGCTTTTGGGCAAGTCAGTTTCTCGGTTTCCTGTCTGTAAAATGGGCATAACAATACTTGTCTCATAAGATCTACTGAGAATCAACTGAGATAATGCAGGCAAAGGATTTAGCACAGATTGTGTTAAATAAAACGTATCTGCTATTTTACTACTTTGTATGTTTTAGGATGGTCTCTGGCCCCTTGATAGTGTCTCACTGCATTGCTCAACGCTCTGGAAACCAGTAACTTCTTTTTCAACATCCACTCAACCCTCTGTCCCTAAATGGGTGCTGCCTGACTATCTGATAAGAACCCATCTGTCTGCTCACTAATGTCAGCAGCCCTGACTCAGTAGGATTCCCTGGTGAGTCATTATAGGGCATTAATGAGCTTATGCTCTGCTTTGAGAGTATAGTCCTGGAGATGGGCAAAACCCTAATGTGGCTGTCTACAGAAATGCCACTCGGGTGGACAGCTTATAAGCCCAGTCATGGGTGGATTCATAGACCTGCATCCTAGTACTCTGTTAGTGGAATCTTCTGCCTTTACACTGAGACAGGGAGACACTGAGACCCAAACAGGGAGAGTGACTTGCCTAAGGTCCCACAGCAAAGTATCTCCTCCATCCTCACCCAAAGCACTCACCACCTATCACTATGTTAACCTGGCTACCATAAGCCATGCACATATTACTCAATCAGAGGAGGAGATTTCAAAGTCCTTCCAAGCATAAGGAGTTGCCAGGTAGATGTTATTAGTAAGGCCAACCTTTTATTTTTTAAAACTATAGAGAAAGCTGCATTATGCTCAGCCTTGACCATTCTCCATCCTCAAGGTGGGCCAAAGGACCTGTTGTCCTGATGTTAAACCAGAGTATCCTAGACTATCACTAGCAAGACACAAGCCCTTCAGAAAACCTGTCAGAGTAAAATGTTCAAGAAACAGCCTGTGTGGATGCTCTCCTTCATCTCTCCCTCCTGTTCTTTCCTTCTTCCCTTCTACAGAAAGAAAAGCAATCACACATCTGAATTTCCTTCTGTCTTTTACTTGATATTATCATATATTTATTCATTTTTCTCCCCCTAAATGCAGGAGCTGGCTTTGTTTTTTTTGTTTTTGTTTTTTTCATCTGTCTTAAACACACCATGGCTATGAGTATGCGATTATTTATGGGGACAGCTGCAAAACTGTAACTCTTTTTTTTAATCCCCGAAAAATCACAAAGATTGAATTTCCAACCCAAGACTTCAAAGAAGGAAAGAAAAGTAAACTGGCCACATGATTATCTCAGTAGACACAGAAAAAAGCATCTGACAAAATCTAACATCTTTTCGTGATAAAAAACACTCAACAAATTAGGAATTGAAGGAAACTTTCTTAACCTCATAAAGAGCATCCATGCAAAGCCCACAGCTAGCACCATCCCCAATGAGATCAGGAACAAGCAAGGATGTCAACTCTTGCCACTTCTTTTCAATATTATACTGGAAGTTATAGCCACGGCAGTCATTCAAGAAAAAGAAATAAAAAGAATCCAGATTGGAAAGAAAGAAGTAAAACTATCTCCAGTTGCAGATGACATGATTTTCTATATAGAAAATCCTAATGAATTCACACATATACACGAACTATTACTGTTAATAAACAAGTTGAGCAAGATGCCAGGATACTAGATCAACATACAAAAAATCAGTTCCACTTCTATACACTGGCAAGGAGTAATACAGAAATTAAATTCAGAAAATAATTTAACTAAGGAAGTTTAAGACTTGTACACTGACAACTACAAAACATTGCTGAAATTAAAGAGACTTTAATAAATGGAAAGAACTCTGTGCTGTCAGAGAAATGAACCGGAAGGAGATAGATAGATAGAGATAGATAGATAGATAGATAGATAGAAAATATATGAAACTCTTGGCCAGGAGCTGAAATTCTAGTCTATAGGTGGAATTCGTCCTCTGGGAAACCTCAGTTTTGCTCTTAAAGACTTTCAACGGTTTGAATGAGGTCCAAATTAGCAAAATAATCTCCTTTACTTAAAGTTAACTTGTTGAAGTTAACCACATCTACAGTACACCTTCACAGCAACATCTAGATTAGTGTTTACTTGAATTACTATGTACTATGTAGCCTAG